CCCCCCCCCCCTCCCGCCGGCCGCGAGGCCCCCGATCCTGCCGCCGGCGCCGCCGGCACCGACCCCACCTCTACCCCCTAGCCCCAGACCCCCCTGCGGGTCCCTCAGGGGACCGGAGTACGGCCCCGCGCCCGCGGTGTTGCCCGTTCCCAAGACCACCCCGCCCCCGCCGACCCCGTTGCTGAGGGAAGAAACTCCCGACGAAGGGTCGGGCTTGATCGGGACCGTGATCCCAATGCCTCCGCCGCTGCCGGAGGCGCCCGCGGCGGCCGCGGTTGCCGCCGCGGCAGCGCTAAGGTTCTTGGTCCCGATCCCGTTCACCGCGCCGCCGCCGCCGCCGCCCGCGCCGGTCCCCGCCGCTCCCAAGGCCCCGGAGGATCGGGACGAGAAGCCGGCCGCCCCGCCGGCCGCCGCCGCCCCCGCCCCTGCCCCCGCAATATCACCGCCGATGGCACCTGCGGTGCCTCCGGCTTGTCCAGCTGCTGCCTGCTGCTGCTGCTGTTTTTTATGTACGATGGGGATCGGGCGAAATTGTGCAAGTCGGGATTTACAACAATGACCTTTGTTCCTGAGCGCTCGCTGGCCGACTTCTCGCGGGCAAAGGAGCGTCAAATAGTTTAACGTTTTGCATCGCCCGAGCCAGAGGGCAGACCTTCAACAAGTCGCTTTCGCGGGCGGGTGGGTGTCAGCAGCCACGTCTACATTTTCTTGGGCTAGTACTGTTTGTCTCCCGTGACAATTTCTCTCGGGATTCTCGCCTGCCGAGAACCGGGAATATTTGGGGGCTGTTTGTGAATCTGGATTTGTTCGCCTGTGCCTCTGTCCCTTAATCTTCCTTGCACCTCTCGGATCCCTCCGTCACACGCTGGCGCAGCAGGGATGTGTACACTTGTGAAATTTCTTTTTCTTGGATGGAAATTTCCAAACGCCTGTACGTACGTGCTACCTCTTCTTCTCATCTCCATCTCTCTCTGCCTCTTCTCCGTTTGTCTGTGCGTCTGCCTGCCTGTGGGTGTGTGTGTGTCTCTCTCGCTCTCTCTTGATTGACGACATCCCACCTTCGCCCGGTTCTGCTGCGCGTTGGTGCCGAGGCGTGCGGCGAGCTGCTGCAGCCGCTGTCTCAGCGTGGCGTGGTCCTTGTACTCCTGGAAGCTCTTCGCGTTTCTGTACAGACTGTCTTCCAGGCGCTTGGCCATCAGAGGGACCTGCTCAAGTACCGTGAGCGGCCACACGGATAGAGGAAACAGGTCGGGGGGGGGTGTACTCATAGTCGTGCATGCCGTAGTCGTTATACCATTGACCTCGCATCCCGGGGGGTGGGGGGGGGCGAACTCACAATGACGCGTGGCCTTAGATTCAGTTTTCAAACGGAAAAGGCATTCTCTGAACAAGTTCTTGCCGTATGGTTTGTACTCTCGCGCATTAAAATTGTTCTACCTCCATTTATTTATCCATTTCCCTCTCTCTACCGTACACCTGGACACAACAGATCCTACCCCTCAGCGGACCGGCGTGGTTTACCGACGGGATCACAAGCTGAACCAAGGGACGGCGCAGGAAAAAAAAAAAAAACAGCAATGGTGCCACCTGCCACTGGCCACTTGCCCCGCGCGCATGCATATACGCGTGTGATGCTGAAAAAGAACGAAACCCGAAAGTTCCGGGGCTTGTGAAATACGGGAGCCTAAACTACGAACGCCGGAAAATGTCTCGCTGTGAGCGTCACAATCTTTTTTATCGAACAGACAAAAAAAATGGCACGAAAAACAAATGTATAGGGCCAGGTTAGTGCTAACGCACCATACCCGACGCTGGAGAGTGCGCAGCTCTGCTCAAACACACATTGTGCGAAGCAACTTCTTTTCGTCAACCTGTTGGAATCCCTACCCATTAGTGCGCACGCCGATGGGTGACAGAATCCCGGCTGTTTCAATTAGGCCCTTCTTTTTAGGACGCGCGTCAAGAGAAGGTGAAAAGACCAGACAGAAACGGACTCGTGCAGACACCGCGTGAAAGGCAAACGTGCTACTTCGCAAAACCACGCAAGATCTGTCCATCGGGGCCGCACCGACCGTGTATATCTTACGTAGCGAACGCCAAACCCTTGCGGTTTCGCACCAGAGCGTAAAAAAGAGGCTTTGCGACCCATACCAACACATAGTACACAGATAAAAGAAAAGAAAAATGACAAAACAAGACACGTTTTTTTTCCGGCAGGTTAAGGAACAAACAAGAAAAACAAGGGGTAGAAGACGCTCTTCGCACGACAACCCGATCTTAGGGACGTGCGGAAGCAAGAGCTGCAAAATTAAGGTTTTGCAATCAAACCACGATTGGCATCTGTCTCCGCTGCTTCCTTCCACGTTTGGCTTCCCAACACAGGAACTCGCACGGCTCCCGAACCACCGACAATACATGACAATCTCAAAGAAGCCCAACACAGGAACTCGCACGGCTCCCAAACCACGACAAAACATGACAATCTCAAAGAAGCGTGCAAGAGCTTGAGCCCTCTTCCTCCTTGACACCGCCGTAGGTAGAACAACCAACCTTAGCTGGAACAACAGCACGCAAACAACTAAGACGAACAGCCAAGACACAAGTGAGGAGGCAATCAAGACGCACCTTCTGTATCCACTCGGGCCGCGCGTTCGGCTTGCGCTGCTGCAGGTAGGTGACGATCTTTGAGAGGATCTCCTTGCGCGACGGGATGTCGTTGTTCGATTGCCAAGAGAGACCGTTACCGGTTCCCTGGAAACGCACACGAACAAAGAAAGAGAGGGAGAGAGGGCGAGAGGGCGAGAGGGAGAGAGAGAGAGAGAGAGAGAGAGAGAGAGAGAGAGAGAGAGAGAATCGCATGAGGGGGCGGCGCGCGGGTGACAAGAAGAAACAAAACAAAAAAATGCAAGATGAGGGACGATGGGCAAACGACGGAGGTCTTACGCGTGCCTGAGCTGATCGTCCGGGGGCATCCACTCCACCCCCGGTGGCAACGGGAGCAGCCGCCGCCAGGGACACGGCCGGCTGGCCAACCCGCTGCTGCTGCTGCTGAGCCAGTTGCTGCTGCTGCTGCTGCTGCAACAGCAACTGCTGCTGCTGCTGCAGCAGCTGTTGCTGCTGGCCGACTTGTCCCTGTCCGGCCTGCTGCATCCCCGCCGTTCGCTGCTGCTGCCGTTGTTGCTGAAGCGGCGACGCCCCGATCACCGCGGGGGCGGCCCCGCCGCCGCCTCCACCGCCCGCCACCCCTCCGCCGATGCCGTTGCTCCCGGCGGCCAGAGCGGCCGTCGTGCCGGCGCCGCCGACAACGGCGGCTGCCGCCGGCGCCGTTGTGGTGGCCGGCGCGGCAGAGGACGCTTGCAGCAGCCGCTGCTGCTGGAGCTGCTGCTGTTGCTGCTGCTGCAGGAGCAACTGTTGCTGCTGCTGGAGCCGCGCTTGCTGCTGCTGCTGCTGCTGAAGGAGCACCTGCTGCTGTTGCTGCTGCTGCAGCGTCGTGGGTTGCAAGGCCTGCACGGGTCGTTGCTGCTGCGCCAGCGCCGTGGCAGCAGCAGCTGCAGCTGCAGCCGTCGTTTGTGGTTGAGCCCGCCCCGCCGCCAACAATGGCGACTGTTGAGAGGGTGCCGAAGCTGGCGCTGCCGATGTTGCGAGGGGCACCGCCGTCGCCGCCGTGCTCGACGGAAGGCCGTTCGACACCCCTCCCACCTGCGAAGGCAACACCCGAATCAAGATAAGACACCAGCGAACGGATATGGCAGCAGGCAAGGGAACGAGAACCAACTCGCGAGATAGGTAGTAGACGCGAGTCGAAACACGCAGTTGGAAGCTAACCCGCAAGAGCAAAAAAAAAACAAAAGCAAAGACATGGAAACGTTCAAAAGCCAAAGCCAGCCGGCACTAAAAAAATGACTGCTACACTGCCACCCCGAAGACTGATTCGACTACGTAATTGTAAACGAACACCACACTCGAAAAAAAACTAACCTGCTGCTGTGCCGTAACAAGGGCACCCTGTCTAGGCGAGGCGGCAGCTGCCACCGCGGCCGCAGCCGCCACCGCCGCCGTTGCCGCAGCTGCTGCAGGGTCCGTTGCTGCCACCGCCGAGGTCGCCGGTACCGCCATCCCCGGTACCACAACACCGGCACCAGCGGCTGCCGCCGCCGCCGCCGCCGTCGCCACCGATGGCCCCGCCGCGACCACCGGCAACGCCGCCGGCGGGCCTGTCGACACGACAGGCGTCGCGGCCTGGAGCGGCACCGCTGCCGGGAGCGGAGCGGACGTTGCTACAGCTGCCTGAGCCGCCGCCGCCGCCGCCGCCGTGGTTGCCGCCACAGACGCCGGCACCGCCACGCCGCTTACCGCCGGTGCCGCGGCCGCCGTTGCGACCAGCCCCGGTGCCGCTATCGTAGTCTGAGGTACGGTGGCGGCCCCGGCGGTGACGCCCGCCGTTGCCGGTATCACCGGGGATGCCTGGGTGCCGGGCACCGCCGTCGGAACCGCCGCGGCCGCCGCCGCCGCCGCCGCCTGCTGCTGCTGCTGGGGCGAAGGGCCTGCTGCCGCCACCGGGGTCGAGGACGCGGGCATGCCGAGGGGCGCCGCCGCCGCCGCCGCGGCTACGTTCATCTGCCCTCCTCCAACCCCCTTTATCGCGTCACCGCCGTCGCCGTCCGCGGCGGAGGTGCCTTCCGCCTTCACGGGGAGCTGCTGCGTCTGGTCGGCCCTACCCTCGCCCCCCGTTCCTCCTGATCGCGCTAGCTGCGCCGTGATCCCCACGTTTCTCCCTGCCTGACGGCCTCCGTCTTCTCCTCTCCTTGGAAAATATGTCGCGTTCTCCCCCTGGGTGTCTAGGGGGGAAAACACCAGCCGATACGTGCCGAAGGGGCGCGCCGCGTCTTCCACCAGCAGACTGCCTGCCGTCGAGTTTGCCTGTGGAGACTGCGCAAACAACAACGGTGGATGGGGAGGGGGGGGGGGGGTTGCAGTGATGGCTTCTTGGCGGTTAAGGGGCTGTCCAATTACCGTCGTCCTCGGGAAGGAAGTGTGGAGTACATCACGAGCCCACCCGGAGGGACTTGGAGAGCGCTCCGTCCACCAAGCAGAGAACGCGGTGCCCGCAACAAACATGTACCTTGACTAAAAGATTCACGCACCAAAAATCACGCGGAAAAGACACGAGACACGACGGGGATCGTGTGCTGCCCTTGGCAAGCAGCATGTCATGACCAACGGCGGTAAGCAGCAACAATTTCGCACGATGTCGTCTACGTTTTGTGTATTACAACCGATGCACGTGGAATTGATATTCTGCCACTTTTTCTCGCGATGGGCAACAGATCGGCGGGCTACCCACACTCTGTACAAGAACAGAAATAAAAAACGGAGCGTATTTGTAGGTGCTGCTGTAGAACCTGAGATCTGCGCGGGACCGCGAAGAGTCTACCCCACAGGCCGGTATGCATACAATTGCGGGACGATGTCCATGTCATGCATGCGTGTGTTCATGACCATTTACAGTACTCAAAGAGGTAACAGTGACAGTCACACTGAAACATACATAGACTCTGCGTTAGCCTTCCATACCAACCCCGGTGAAGAAAATGACTCGCGCCGAGATCACGGCATAGCTGCCCGCGGTGCGGCCTCCGCCGCATGTTTAACACGCAGTCAGAAGCAATCAACAGCAGCGGCCGTTCTACACATGGCAACGTGTAGGCCAACAACCAACAGAAGCAGTGTACATTCAACATGTTGCAAGTCAGTAACTCTGCTCTCGATGACTTGGGCAGACATGCCTAACGCACCTACTAGAGCACACACCGACGACACCACGTCGAGGCGAACACGCACTACATCCAGTAAGTAAGATTGCCGCCGTTGCAATCGCTTCGCACATGGCACAACATCAGAAGGTTTCCGGGTGTTCAAAATACTCTATTGATAGGGAAAATGGTGGTAGCATACCATCCTCACTCGAAAATTGAAAAATACTCTTTGAGTCACCTCTGGACGTTCATCCAACGCCCAAGACTAAACACACCGCGCGATCGATCCTCGAGACAGACAAAAAACGACCAAATGCAGCAAAGAAGGATTCACGCGGTAATACTCAATCTGCACGCAGTGTCGGCGTTTGGGCGGGCGGCGGTCGCCTTGAAAACACCAAAAAAATCGACGACGAAAAAATAAAAAATGCCCATGTCTAAAAAATCGACCAAAATTGCGAGATAACGCGGGCCGGAGGCGGCCCCTCGGTACGCTTTGTTACGGCGCCGAAAAACGGCGACCAGCCGCTCTCCGACGAAGGAATACACAAAAACACAACCGAGACACGCAGGGCACCTTGAATTCCGGGGGGGCGTGTTGCCCTCTCCGTGGCCCGCGGCGGGGGCGGCGTATATCGCCCGAAAGTCCAAAATCTCGATACGACCGACTTCGCCCAAACCACTCTGCAACCAGGGGTTACCTCGCAAGCAGGACCCTCCCAAGCCAACGACTTGGTCATTCCCCACGCACCTGTGCCTTTGGGGCTTGAGACGATCCCCCGTTCGCCACCTAGTTACGTTTTCACCACCTCTCTCTCTCCGTAACTCGCTTTCGTGCCTTGATGGAGTTCAGAATAACGCACGCCAACGGGGGGGAGGGGATGCCAACGATTGGCATTTTTCTCTTCTCTTTTGCTGTTTTTTTTTCCCTTCTCCTATACAATATCTCCTTCCCAGAGCACAACAACAGCTCCGGCGGCGGCATGTCCGGGGTGGCGCAGCTTCCCATCAACACGTTCCTGACGCAGTGTTGCACGCCTTCGATGATCAACCCGTCTGATACACGACATAAGCTAAACGTAAATACCAAAATTGAAGTATAAAGTATGTGTGATCCAGCAGGTACTCTGTAACGAGGTAACTGGGATGTTACGATACAACAGCAGTCTACTGCTTGTTTTGTAGATAGTGCTCGAGACTGAAGACTTCACGAAAAATGCATCAATACATGCATCAACCATGCATGTAGATCTGAAGACTAATACTAGTTGCGTTGTACGTGCGTAGGCGCTCAACTAGTCGCCTAGAACTTCAGCATTGCAACACACGTGATCGAGACCTGCTTTGCACTCTGATTTGGAAGATGATGAGAGCAGACGGGGGAAGGCGACACAAGCGTGGTCGTGCTTTGTCATAGTATAAGTCTACACCCCGAAGACAAAGTAATTGTTTCGCACGCAAATAATCGGCCCATTTGAGAATTTGCATACAACAGAAATAGGCCCGTCTTACAGGAAGGTCCATTGTTAATTAGAAGGTGTAAGCCCAATCGACATGCCTGAAAAGCATCGACGACCCAAAACAATACCACTTGTACCAGACTTCGAAGGAAGTTATCTCAATGGGCTTTAGCAACTTCCTACCGACTGGGCGCCGGCATCTCACGCGATTGGTTGAATGAAGCAGCTCAATCCTGAGTGAGCAGGGGGTATAGTAAAAAGTCGTCCGGAAAACGATTTAATGTTGCTCGCTATTATTATTTAGGAAGGCAGGTCAAGCGAACCATGAGAGACAACACGCAAATAATAGGGTCGCCCCGCCCTCCTGAATGAGTAAGAGAACATCTTCCGCCTAGAACTCATCGTGGATACACCCGGAAACGAATACTCGTAAATTCAAATCCAGATCCAGGCAGCAAAACAGGGGCAAACTAAACCCCTTACAACGCCCGCACCGAACAAAACAAGAGGAGAGCGTGTGGGGGGCGGGGGCGGAGCTCCAGTGGTTATTGTAGCCCAACCCTAGGTAGCGGCCCCTTTTCTAATCTGACAAAAACTCTCTACGCTCGAAGGGATACAGAACACGATAGATAATTGGGGGGCACGTTTTCGTTTCAAAAATGGGCCACAAGCTAAACCCACTCTCAACACAAAATACACACACCCCAACAGACGTTAAAAATCAATCACCCGACACAAAAAATCCCGACGTTTCGATATTCCAGAGTCAGTCCTCTCCTTATGGTCGCATGCTCTCCCTCCCGCCCACCACCGCCCAGCAACGATTCACATGCCGTCCAACATGGCATGCGCATGCTCCCTCACCGCCCAAAGCCGCGCAGCAGCTTCTGACTGACCCGGGTTTTTGGCGGAAGAGTAGCCTTACCCAACCCGGCAAGGGTACGCATGAACCGTAACAACAGTTATGCCAAGATAAAAAAAAAAAAAGCATGTATTGTAACAAGTCTACAAACACGGGGGACGCGTGCAAGTAGGATCGGACTAGGTAGACCCTCATCAGCTGGAGCAGCGCCGTCATTCTCTTGTCCATCAAGGCACCAATTCCTAGGCAACGTGGACTAACAACACCAAACGGCCAAACAACCTCCACGGGGAAAAAGGCTCGCGGGCGTGCGGCATCCGAAACAAAACTGCAGCGAAAACAAAATAGTAGCACACCTCCAGCGTGTTGATACATGCGGTGGGGCACAACTCTTCGCCTGCACTGCCTCCTAGGGAAACCTGGCTGCTAGTGCAAGGCGTACTCTATAGAGATAGACGGGGCAGCGGGATCGTCACACACTGCAGGGTGACTTTCCGTTGCCCGGACTTGTTGGCCCCGGGTCGGCCAACCCCCTGTGGTTTCGCCAGCACAGTAGTACAAACGCCACGCTAACGTACCGTGCCATTCGGCAAGCCGCTGCTCCTAAGGACACCACGTACGGTGCCATTCAGCTATGGGCGGGCTTGACTCCCCTTCTTCTCTCCCCAGACCTTAAAGCCGCGTGTGGCTGGTGCGTGCTCAAAAGCGCCGAATAGTACATCATGGGCCACTCAAGCTGGTCCCACAATGCAAATAGGTAGGACACTCTCGGTTTTAGCTACTACCACCATTTGCTGCTCCGTCCACTAGAGGACGCGTGGCCAATGGTCTCTACCGCTAAGGCATGAGACTACGACGTGCCTCGGTGATGGCCACCACAATCTGCTGTTCCGTCCGCTCGAGGAAAACGGCCCAACCACTAAGGCATGAGTACCCCCCCCCCCCCCCCCTGACCCCCCTCTATTCGATGTCGCGCGTAGCCAAATCATCCCAGCCTCAGGCTAGTCGGACTTTTTTGCCTTTCTCCTCGCCTCATCACCGTCGGCAGCGGTCGGGCCAGCGGCACACGCGCTGAGCCTAAGCTGCAGTACGGCGCTGGTCAAGAACCAGGAGGCTATCACCAGGAACACCGTTTCGGGCTCCGCCATCTCCGTGACCCTGGTGCCTACCACGACGAGCACGTTGAGCGGCAGGCGGAAGATGTTCATCACGGAGGACTGGAGCCCTCCCGGGAGATACCTGGCGGAACAAGAGAGGGGGGGGGGGGGAGAGAGAGACCGGAGTGCGGAGGCGTGATTCTGTGAGTACAGGAAGACAGTGTTGGCTTTGGGTTTTGGGGGGTCTGTTGGGCACCGCCACAACCTTACCGCTGCGCCCATGAGGAGTGTTTTCATAGAGTCGTGCTGGGAAACACACACGTGTGAGGCAACGCCGAAGATGTCTACCCTATCCAACAACTATTTAGCACAGAAAGCATGGTACGGTGTTTTGGTATCTGAAACAAATTCCACACGATCCCGATCTGAAAGCGTCAGTCTGTGAGTGTTGACATTTTTCGCTCGCCGCGTTTTCTCGCAAACGTGTGGTCGACACTGGAAGTCGGCACGCTCACAGCTGCCGATAGAAGAGCGCTTGTCGAAAAGTTCCAAAACCTATACCCAACAACAATGACGACAACAACAAGCAACCACTAGGGTCAAACCGAAAAAAAACCAACAACTAAATATCGTACACCGTTATAGCAAAATGGACAGCAAGAACAACCTAAGGTCACACCGAAAACGTAAACACATCTATCGGGCACGGCTGTTCGTAGCAAAACGAAAACACGCGAGGCATACAATACACACCTGCTGCGCATGAGGCCCGAGCACGAGTAGAACGCTCCGACGCACGTCTCCAGCACGAGGAAGGCACCCAGGACCGTTTGAAAGTCCCGGGTCACGGCTGGCAGTGTCATCGACGCCGCCGCTACGAAGAACACGAATGCCGAGGCCAGCTCGACCGACATCTGAACGGACAGCAGGAAACAACAAAACAGGCAGAGAGAGACGACCAACATGAACTGAACCGGAAAGGAGTTCGGAAGTGCACTGGAAAGGAGTTCGGCGAGTTGCTCGCTTGTTTTTTTTTATTGCCTCTTACGTATTATTATCCATGATACGAAAATTAAACGTGCTGGGGTGTTGCGTTGGACATACCCATGGTGAGGTACTCCACATTATCCGATGCGCATGGTATTTTATTCGTACAAAGGATGAAGGACGAGGTAAAAAAAACAAAAAAGAACCGTGCATTTCTCACACAACTCTCTTTCTAGAAGGCGTTGATACGCGTGCTGCAGCACTTCGTAGTTCTTCGTAGCAAACACGTTTCTTCGTATTCGCGGCGCTTGGCAGGAGAAAAGGGCATCGAAAGCAGGAGGAGGTAAAGAGACCACGAGAAGCGGCGGCCACAGAATGAGGAGAATCCAAGCCAAAATTGAGGCTGCGGAAACAAGCAAGAACGCGGGTGCTGATGTGAAACGAACGGAGGTCTGGTCCCCGATCCCCGTCGCGTACCTCGTGGCTACAGCATGTCATTTTCACGTCTAGACGGCTACCTCGTCACCAGCGTAGCAGCTATTACAGGCACTGAACGCGGTACCGTCATCTACACCCTACTTACATTGGTTGCCAAGTGTCCAACAACCGAAATGTGCCTACCTCATAGGGCGACAACAACAATATATAGCAAGAGCCAAGAGCCCAAGCAGGTGGTCTATGGGACACGCAACGCAATGCACGAATGTACCAGCATGGTCTACGGAACACCATTCGTTTTAAAACGCAACGCAATGCACGAATGTACCGGCATCGTCTACACAACACCATTCATTGTATTTATTTATACATTTCTAGTCATTCTTAGCCCATCATGACACCAGACGGCGCGAGGTCTGGACGAGTGGCGGCCGCCATATTTTTGCATACCGGTCCGAGAGGCGGCGATGAAGAACACGCCGCCCGAGGTCACGCCTTAAAGCTGCATTATATTACATTACATTTCATTACATATAATACAATAGAAGTACATTACTATAACATGTGAGCGTGCTTGACCATGGTTATTTGGCGTCGTCAGATGCTATGACTACGTGACGTCATGCAAGACTAGGACTTTATGCCGAGGCATGTGCCCTTCCGTTCAGTGTGCGTACGATCCGGTGATCGTGTGTGCTTGGGATCTGTGTGAAAGAATGACAGGAGAATGGAAGAAAGCAGATAAATCTTCCTACAAAATTGGATACAACGAAGCAATTGAACCGCAGGCCCCTCCCCGCATGTATATCCTAGATGTCCGTACAACTATTCGCATAACTTTGTATAACTATTCGCATAACACGCAAATGTTCTGCAGGGATTGTACTATAGGTGTGCCTCTTCGGGCTTGTGTGCGTGTTCTTTAGGCCTTCTGATGGCTCTAGCATTCTTGTGACCACGGACCGAGTCCTTACTAGCTTTGAGACTATTATAGCAACTGACACGAGTTTAATGTGAAGATGACAACAACAAAACGGTGGTAGACAAACAAGGCGTCATGTGAACACAAACAGCAAGTGCGTCGCGGTGTAAGGTTTAGGAAAGGAATCCGAGAAGTAAACGCATGGTAGAGGAGAACACCAGGCGCCGCCGCAGGTCGACAAAGCTGCACATTATTATTTACCATGCACAAGAGAGCACGACCGGTGACTGACCTTTCTGAGCATGATGGAGAATAACACCCCCCCGATGGTGATGCACACCATGAATGACGAGAAGATCAGCCCCGTGGGAAGAAGAACGCCGTCCGAGAGAACTCCCTGCAGGGTCGGCACCCACATGAACACTGCGCGTACGGGAGAGAAGGGCACAATGCGTGTTTGTGTGTGTGAGAAAGAGCGAGAGAGATAGAGAGAGAGAGAGATGGAGGCAGATACATTTCTCGGAACCGTTTTGCGTTCTGTTGTCATCTGCGGCTTCTCTGGTCGGTTTGACTTGGCAACGCCAGGCATACACTCGACTCGTGGCCGCAATGTCGTTCTTACGCACGGATTGCCGTAACCCATCCAGAGAGTAATACCATCAGTCAACTTCTACGGAGAAGGGAAACGATAGTTGAGCACAGATCTGCGGGGGGGGGGGGCGAAGCACCCGCCTTTGAGTCGCTTGCATGAACGAGTACAGCTGTAGTCGCGACTAGCACACCGCGGCCCGCACAAGAGCCTGAGTTCTCAAACAAATTCGAGAAGCAAGCCCGAACTCGACACCGTATAAAAGACCGTAGCAGCTGCTGTTGCGGTTACTTGAAAGTCCTACCTCCTATGAGGAAGTAAACGTCACCACCCTGTAGGGAACGGGAGAACTGAGGTTTTCCTCTGGCGTAAAATACGGAGGCAAGCATCACACACCCTTCTGTGTGACCCCGCATCCAAGCTCGTTCAGCAGAGAAAAAAAAGGCAAGACCGCACGGCAGGAAGACACTGGGAGCGACGGAATACAGTTCAGGACACCTACGCCAACAAACGCCGCCCCCCAGCTGAAACAACAACGCTAGCATCCGGCACGCCTCCTCACCGAACGTAAACGTGCCCCCCTCGAACAGGCTCTGCACCATCCCCAGCAGCAGAACCCTGTGGTCGGACACGATGCAATCCCACGCCATCCCCACCGACTTCCGCAAGCCAGGCGCCACCCCACTGCCGCCACCCCCCCCGCTACAACAAGGTCCATCACCATTGCTGTTACCGTTACCCCCGCCGTTTTCATTAGACTGCCGGGCGCCCGGTGCCGGTGCCACCGCGGCAACGGAGGCGTCGCCGCCGCCGCCGTTTACCGCGTCCGCGGTGGTGGATGTGGGGGCTTCTTTCCGGCCGTTGCTACCGTTGGTCGTGACCCCGTCACCGTTCGCGACGACCGGAGCTTTTCCTTCCTCGCCGTACCCGTAGTTCTCCTCCCACAGCATCAAGAGGCTCAGGGCTAGGAGGGTCAGGGCGATGGCCACCTGTTCGGTTGTTCAAAAAAAAAAATGGTTGGGTTTAGTGGTGCGGCATAGATGTATACGAGGTTTCTATTCCCCCGGCGGAGGTTGGGTTCTCTCTTTGGTGCTTACAGACGGAGGTCAAACACGCAAAAAGAAAACGTGGGAATAAATTAGCCGTCTTTGTGTGGGTATTCTGGGAGGGGATTTTAGTCGGACAGATGAGCAGCTTTTCGAACAGCCTACGAGACAGCCAAGACAAAAAAAAAAAAAAATGTACTGCTATGCGTACTACACGTCTCACGCGCTTTTAAGGCGATTTAGGCCATATATAGATGTTGCCAAATATATCTGCAGACGCAGGCGATCGTTCTGGCTGGCGTGAAGAGGAGCGTCCGTGGGATGAGTCTGGCTGCAAGCACTGCCGTTCAACACACAGAGGAGGGGAGTCTTCGTCGCTGTCCCCGTTGGACCACTCAGTCAGCGGCTGATAAATGGTCTAATGGACTAGCCTTTTGTAAACAGGATCGCTACGCCGCACACACACAGCATTGCCAATGGATGCATTTTTGTTTTCGACCGCACTGAGACTGACGTATTTCATTGGTCAGCCATTTAACGCGGTCGATACAAATAACAAAGACACACAAACACACACACACACACACACACCACGCCTGGAAGCGGTTCCGTACAACGCAAGCACAGGACAGCCTGTATGCAACTGGCCGAAACGGCTGATCTTCGCCCGAAATATCTCGCGCCCCCACGCGGGAGTGCATCGCAGCAAGTCCAGATTCCCGCACTCCTATGGCATGGCCAACCAACTCGAAGCACCCCAAACCACAACTCCAAGATAACAGCGATGACCCCGTTCTCGACTTGGGGGTTAGGGGCCCGGTAGTGCCGGTACCCGATATAGTACGGGATAAACTGGCTGGCACAAAAATGGAACAACCAAGATGTTTAGTACATAAAGTAGTTCCGGTGCCCGCTATACATGGTGCAGGTGAACGCGCTGGGTAAAACTACCCGCACTACAGCGGCGGTGTCACCCCGTGACACCCTCTAGCACCACTGCTGTAACACCGTCGCTCCACGTGCCTGGAATGGCCCGATGTCTCCGAGCTTGTCCGCCGCGACCTGCGCCACGACCCCGGCGAGCACGGCCATGATGCCGTTCCCAACGGTCGCCGCCGAGAAGGTGCTCGCCAGCCACTCCTCGGGGAAGCCTGCACGCGGGATGGTTGGTGGATTGCAAAGGGTAGCAGGTACGCTCACGTAAACGCAAGCCACATGCCGTATTCGTGGTTAGACCGTAGATCTCGCACCTCTACCTACACCAATGGCGGGACGGAGTGACATGCTGGCTTTTCGCCGGCCCAGGCTACGTTTAACGAGGATGGGCCGATATGCCGGTTTTTCGCCGGCTCAGGCTACGTCTGCGCAAGGATGAAGCATCACCCGGGGGGGGGTGTCGGACGGGGAGATATCACAAGAATTGAGATGAAAACGACACCGCTCTTCCTCCCCCCAGGTCAAAAGCTCTTCCTACAGCTTCAAGCCGCCCGCGGCGCCTGTCGCTTTCGTGCCTCACGCTCCCTGTGTGAGGTTTTCGTTTTCTTGGTCTTCCGGCCAAAGCAGTAGCACAGGGAGCGTTCTCTCCGGGCTACAGATCGGCAGCAGCAGCACGCAAGGGCGACGCATTGACAAAACAACAACAGGCCTCGTGACCCAAACAGTATCATCTATCTTGGAAAGGTGCCACCGTCGTTCCCCCGCTGATTCCAGCCAAAACATGGCACTTTTCGCGGGTGGTGCTCTGTTGAGAAACTCCGCCTGCCTTCTGCTTCCTCTAAATGGCTTGGACGACCCTGCTGCACCTTTAACCGCCCCACCCACATGCGTGCCGTAGAGTGTGATTATCCGGGGGGGAGCACGTGCCAGACCTGTTGCTCTCTCTCTCTCTCTCTTACCCTGCTTGCGGTGCTGGCTGACCATCCAGCTCTCGAACGCCGAAAACAGCAGGGACGTCGAAATGCCCCCCAGGACTCGCCCCAAAAGCAGCAGCCGCATGTCCGGAATATGCTCCAGGGTGTTTATCACCACCTGCACCGAAGAGCGGTGATACAGGGGGGCGTGAGGCATGGGTATACATCGTCCATGGCCGTGAGACAATCGACCATCGGCGCTAAGCATCCCTTTTCGATATGTAGCACACCGCTTACACCGCACACACCCAGGTCGCTTACCGAAACACTCGGACGCTTGTTACTACTGTGTTTCTGCTATAAAAATGCTGCGAAGGCAACACGGAGGGTGGGTGTGAAAGGATCACGGGGGAGTGACGAGGAAGAAGAGAGGGCCAAAAGAAGCGTGAACGGTGTTTGTACCAGTAACGCTAGATGTAGCGGGGGCACACACGGTGGAGTATCAAACGAAACCCAGTAGCATGTCTGGTTCGAGAACGGGACTCGCGGCAGACCACCCACACCGGCCAGAACTTCGGCGTTGCGTAGTCAAAAAAAGAAAAAAGGCAGGAAAATTTAGGTTAGTTCCCAATGTAACGACACGTGAATACGATACGGATGCTTCTCACGCCCCGCACTCCCCCCAAGCACGAACCCCACCTCCAGCAGGCAGAAGACGATGCACCCATTGCGGCGGCCAAAGCGGTCCACGAACAGTCCGAGGAACGTTCCGAAGACCGCCGCAGAGCTGAAGCCGGTCAGGAACAGAGTACCCACGTCCACTCCGTACGACTGGTAGAGCGTGTACATGTTGGTCCCCTGAAGCCAGTCCGCGAGCATGACGGTCAGGTACACCACCAAGTACTTGTACTGGAACCTGTTTGGGGGCGGGGGGGGGGG